CACTTCAATAACTCTTTTAAAGTTGTTGCGCCAAGATGCCTGGCGGATTAAGCTCCATTGCCTTTTCTTGTTTTGAACTAATGTATTCTTGATCACCGTTTAATGAAACTATATACCACATGGAGATTTCACATTAGATAAGCCATGTGAAACCCTCATCAGACAAGTAGCTGTGGCTGGTGGTAATCCTTCAGATGAAAATTTCAGACTAGCAGGTTTTCCAATTTAAATGAGCCCCTTTAACTATAAAAAATTGGCACGGTATGATTGCTAAAAATTATTTTTAAATTTTTATGTTGCCAAAGTGCCCCGGTGGCTGTGAAAAACAGAAATACAGCCGTAAATACAGAAAACATTAACTGGTCACTGAGGGGATCCAATTTACAACCCATAGAGACAACTCACATGGCTCACTGACACTGGTATTATTGGGTTTGCAATAGGGCATTCAGTTCTGTTCACACCACATGAATGCAAAGCTATTCTTAAATATGCAATTAAATAGATTTATTCCACATGTTTCTCTAGTCAGTGGTTATTACTCACTTTTACTTCATTGCACCCTGAACTGTAGAATTTTTGTGATGTGTTCAGGTAGCATTTGGAATACAACTGAATTTATTGTGAATTGTTAATAAAAGTTTCTCAACAGCATTATATATATATATTGTATGATATTTAAATTTAGATCATTTTGCTACTATGGTTTGACTTACAGCAATAATTTTAAAAAAATCAAATTCAATACTGTTTATCCCTGTTTGATATCAGGAGAAATAAAACATATTTTCAATACAATATAATGGAAAATTTTACATTAAAAAGGCTAATGAATCTTTATTATTTAGCTATGTAAGTTAATATTTCAAATTAGTATATCTAGTCAGTTTTTAAAGTTATGAGTTGATTACACATTTATATATTCACATTTCAGAATAAATTCTAGAATAAACATACTTAGAAGTGCATTTCAATGTTACCAGATATTTTCAAATATTGGTGCCAAAGTATTGATCAAAGCCAACTTAATTAAATGGATATATATGAGATTTGTGTAACCCCTTCACTACTATTTCTCTCTTTCATCCAGGAGATGAAACAAAAGCCATAGTAAGCTGGTTTCCTATTAGTATGAACTAATTTTCAAGATTACCGGCTTCTAAACAAGCCAAACTTAACTTATTAAAATGGTTAGTTTCTAAGTAATTAACCACATTTCACAGTTTGCATTTTAAAGAAGCTGCCCTTCATTGCAGCTTCCTGGCTTCTTCTATATACAAAGAAAGAAATAAAGCAGTTAAGATAAGCCCTGTATATTAAAATAAATTGGATTGTTCAAACTAGTCAGGTCTGAATTGCTAGTTCTATGCTCTGAAAGCATATGAAACCTTATGAAGTTAGCAATTTTGTTTTAGAAACTGCTTGGGAACCCCAAGTATACTGCATTATTGAAAATAGTGGCACCTTTCTAGAGAAGCATATGTTAAGAACAATATTCAGCTTATTCACAGGGGGTTAAATCACCCCAAGATAACACTGTTCCTTCTGCTCTGATTTTGCTACAGTTTGATGTATTGTGCATATATTGGGAGAACATAGTAAATATCAAGGACATTACAAGATAAATTAGAGATGAACATTTGGATAATTATCCATGGGTAAAAGGTTCACAACTCACAAATCAGTATGAACTAATTCTCAACTCAATATACTGTATGACATCTCAGTGATATTTTTTCATTACCTAGAGAGGAAAACTGCAATACTTCATACATCAATATGAATTACTAATAAAAATGTACACATGAAAAATCTACACTTTGTATGTCATGCTTGAATTTTTAAAACACAAAATACTTCAGTGAAGCTAAGGATATCCCTGTATGACAAGACTAGCAAAATTGCTATCCCATTTTAAATCCACTCACCCATCCCATTCATTATTTCTAAGATCCTTTTTTTTAGCCTTATAATGTTAATAGATTGTGCATTTATTTTGCCCTCATACACAATAGAACTGGCAAATGATAGGGATTAGGTGAAAAAATGTTAAAGCACAATATATGTTTTTTGTGCTTTACAAAAAAGAGGGGCATAATAACATTTCTGCAACATATGATAATGGATAATTCAACTTTAAGACAGACAGTAGTTTTTATTATTCCACATTCTTCTGTTCTTGCAAAAATATAAAGGTAAAAAACAAACAAATTGAATACTATGGTGCTGCCTAAACTGTACTGCTAAGAAAAACAGAACGTTGATAACAATGACCGTATCAGTAACTATTCCTTATATATTAAAAGAATTTTCTATGATTACGCAGAGTACATGGTATCAAATTATTATTTTCTATTTTTTCTGATTTAGCACAGTCTGCTAACTAGGGATTGGGAAGAAATTCATTCCATTGCTCTTTGCCACCCTGATAGCAATATCTTATGTGAAAAAATAAAAGCTAAAAAAAGTGAAACAAAACTGAAATTCATTAAAGATATTATGTGTCAGCAACAAAAAGTTCTACCATTCTCCTTCATTCTAATATATGGCTTTGGTAAGAATGGGGAAAGATCAACATCACATAAGTTAATTTATGTTCCCTTATACCATCCAAATGCCCCACACTGATTAACAAAACTGTATATCGTCATTAATGTTCCTTTACAAACACATCATTAATGTGCACATACAGATATTCTAAGTCCATGATACCAGTAGAAACTGATACCTAAAGCATGTCAATATGTACCTTGTATAGTTTCATTATCAATAAGAAAAGTTCCTACCTATTTTTAAGGCATGTTTGTTTTTGGCCATAATTTTGGCCAAATTCTGTTTTTAATAATTTTATTTATTTAATTTGTATAGCACCTATTTTACTGACTCTGGCCATCTTACAAGATTAAAACAAATGTATCAAATGTTCCATTATTGTTCTTGATTGACTTTTTAAATTTATTATGTAAATAATGAGAAATGATGCATTATAGGAAAGTAGTGCCATTAACCACTGAGACCACCATAGCCAGTCCATTTCATAATCTTTCAGCTTTGATTTTCAGATCCTGATACTCTGTGATCTTCTCCAATTCTCTGTCTTCTATTCTACTGTCCCCAAGTGTTGCCATATCAATTATCCATACTTTTTCCTTTTCAACCACACTTGTTGTGTGCCAAGACTTCATCAATTTATCTTTGGAAATCCCACAATATTTTAACCTGGTCATTTTGATTATTTTACAACTATTATCATTATCATCCATTGTAATATTACTTAAAATGGTATTTATTAAATTATTTCCAAGTAATAAATGTTTAGGCATCAATGAACAATTTGAAACTTCATGAGTTTGGGGGGACTCTTGCCTTATATATTGTGAAGCTTCTGAAAGATATTCCAATAAGCAGCCCTATTGCCACATTTTACACTAATTATGGCTTCTACATTTTCAAGAACAGGCCTCTGTAGAGTGTACTTCAGTGTTCTAGGCCACCAAATATAGAGTCCTTGCACAAGAAAGTTTGCAGCCAGTGAGACAATCACCACTAATCAAATGCAGTCTATGCTACTACAGTATAGTAGTTTTAGTATGCTACTACTAAAATACAAAGGAGTAATCTACAAGAAAATAAAAGTCACATTTTATTTGTGGAAATAACTAAAATACAATGGAGGCTACTGTTAACAGAATGGAAGAGATACTATTCTGTTTCCACTATAGTCTTCCCAAAAGTTCTGGAGAATATTTTTTAAGGGTTTATTACAATTATCCACTTTATCTCTGTAAAGATCTAGGATCACTTTTCATTTTTGTTCTTGTCCCAACAACTTTGTGAGCATGGGCAAGGACAGGCAAGAGGGGAAAATGACAAAAGTTGCAATGCAACACACACTCAATTCAATGACAAATGCAAGTATATAAGACACAGATTTGCTTCAATATCCCACAACACACTCTCACTAGCATGATACAACCTTGCTTATGAGGTAGATTGGTAAGAAAAAAAGTGACAAGACACAATTCATCCATTGCATAGCATGGTTCAGTAAGGGCTTAGATCTATTTGTCCATCATTTTCTGAAAAAGCTTAGGGGACCAATTTTAGATGCCAAACATAGTCTGAAAAGAAAAAATGCAAATAAAAACAACCAGGACTTTCTTTAGAAGACTATATTTCTTACTCTCTAGAATAGAAAAATGAGATATATATTTTAAAATCAGGGAATAGCTCTGTGACTGCATGTTTATGACTTGGGGAAGCTTAGATCAACCATCATCTTCATCAACTCTACTAAGCAATCTGGCTGAAATAAAAAAAAAAATCCTATGTTGGGGTTGCATATATATCCAATCTATGATCAACTTTGCACTGATACTTTTGTATGGCTTTGTATCAGCATTATACAGCCACAGAACTCATCATGTGGAAACTCACTTAGCTTATACTTGGAACTTCACATATGAAATCTAATGGTCCTCCAATTTCTCAGTTCTGTTAGTATCAGCTTATAAGGTAGACCAGACAAAAAACCAGATGAGCTAGTTTTACATTACTGTAAAGCTATATTAACAGAAACTTGCAAGTTCTGAAAAGAATATCTCTCTCCCCCACCTTTACAGCCCAAGGAAAGTAGAGAAGATTTCTTCTGAGGCCCTCCTCCTACCCACATTCTTGTTAATGAGCTCAGCTGCCTTTTCTCCAACAGTTCTCTTGATTTCATTTCTTTGCCTTATCTCTCATGGTCATTCCTATATACCATTAGTTAGAAACAAGTTAAATGAGCATGGATCTTTCATAGGAGAACTATTAATAAGAAACAAATAAGTGTCCATATTGGAAGGACATTGTGTCTTTTGGTTAATGTTTTTTCCCACAAGATGGTTCATCAGAATGCCCATATATTGTTTGATATATTTTTCTCAAAGAAATCAATTTAACTTTTGTACATATTCATTTTATCAAGAAAAATGAATCATAATAATGTAAATAGTACAAACCTTCTTAATTTTCAAATCATTTTGTCTATTCCACAGCAGCCCATCAAATATTCTGTTGTCTATCTTTATTTTTTTTTTAACAGCATCCAGCCGGGCATGGAGAAAATCAACTAATCTCTGAGTATTTTCCTCCTTGGACTTTATTTTGGTATATTTTTCTCTTTAAGGGAGAGAAAATATATCATTACTTGTATGAAAAATTACTCAGAACTATTAGGCAAACTGCTCATGCAGAAACAGTGATTGCAATCTAGTGAGATGCTTTATAAATGTGTAAGGGCAATGTGCACATACAGTTTATTGGACCATTTCCTCTTCATTAGCTCCCCAACTAAATCCAAATTTAAACACACACACACACACACAGAGTCTCCAGAGATATTTTATAGATATAGAATATAAATTTATATAATAATATAAAACCTGATTTAAACCAAGCCATATATGTACCTCAACTGGCAAACCTTTTTTTAACCACTTAAGACATTTTAAGTGAAAGTTAAGGGACTGAAGCCATAATCTTTAACAAAACATATGCACAGCTTAGCTGCTTTACAAAGTTGTCAAGTGTAACAAAACTGACGTATTCTTAACAGTACTTAAAACAGCTAGTTAGTAGCAAATAGGTTCAGATCCTGTTGACTATAGTACATGAACAAATGTTTTCCATCTTGAGCTGTCCCTATTGAATAATTAGCTTTTCTAAGGACCTTTCATTAATGCTCTTGCTCCTATCCATACATATCTGTGGTTATCCCTAGTTTCCTCGATCTTGCCAAGAAGAATTAGAAACTGAAATGATTTCATAGATATACTGCATATCTTAAGACATCCGGTGGTTTCATAGGTAATATGATGATAAAGATATAGGTGATCTTAATTATGCATTAGTCAGAGAGGACACAGTTCATATGAACCACAGTAATACTTCATTGTGTTGTTTTTCTTTTGGTTAATAAATTTGATTAAATGGTGTGTGTATGCAGTGCGTGTGTGTGTGTGTGTGTGTGTATAATGTGTGTAAGTCATATGTGTGTGTGTGTGTGTGTACACATCTATATTTCACAAAATTCATCTTTTTTGTGATCACTGGAATTTTCTAAAAGTTTTATAACTTTTATCTGGGGAAAACATTCTCGTACATATATTTTTGTATGTGTTTAAACAGCAACAATATAGCTATTCAGTTTTCTTTTCCGAGTCAAATTGTGCGCCTCTCAGAATGTCCTCTAGAGGGCTGGGGAACCTATGTAAGAAACTTGGGCAAGAGGCTGAAAGTGTGAGAAATTTTTGAAAGCTCCCATTCCACTGCTCCCAACTTAACACTTTGCATTATTTATTGGTCTGTGATTCTTACCTCAACATCACTACAGATTTTTCTATATTGTCTACCTGGTTTTCCTGTCCTTTCCTTAAAGTATTTAATTTTGCAATTTCTTTTTGTAAATGTGCAATTTCCCCATTGACTTTAGTAAATTGGCTTGAAATGCCTAAATATTTCTCCTGAAAATTAAAAAAAAGGGTTAAAAGCACAATTACATGCAATGATGCATTAAATTATTTATCCCAAAACAGAACTATTTTCATAACTGCAGCTGAAAATGTAATGCAAGTTAGGTAACATGATTTCAGTAAAGGTACACTTGTTAAATCAGAGTTATTATTTTCAAATATGTTTTATAAATAAGATAAATTCAATTTTTGGTCATTGCTCAATATGTCTTTCCTGTGCTTTTTATTATTTTTTCACATGATCAGTATATAAGAAATGATTTTCACTATCGGGAAGATTGCACAGGTGGAGCCCATCTACTTGGAAGAGATGATTCTGAAGCTACAGTACATGGAGGTCAAATCATATAGTTTGAACCCTGGGTTGGTAACCAATTTTAGTCACTGAAGCCTTGGTTTTATACTCCTTACCCTCATCATTAGTCTAACCACTGAATCAGTGGTTGTACTTTCTGAATTACCTTCAAAGGCATTCCATATTGGAGACCCCAGGCTTAACCATTAATCTCCCATTATCAATGACTGGAATTGTCCACTTAGGAAGGAATGAAACCACTTTAACATGACGTCTAAAACTCCAAACCCCTCAAAGGTGGTTCAGAAGAATAACACAATAGTAATATCACCAAGAAGTCTAATTGTACCAGGAACGGTCCACCTCCCTCCATCAAGTTCCAGACAATGGTTATCTACCATGCTGTTTCAGTCCTATGCCCAGGTTTGATTATTGGCTGAAATGGGTTCAGATAATTCATTTCGTATAGAATTCTTTGTAGCTGAAGCCCTAACATGTTCTTTAGAATCCTCCCAGAAAGCAAAATCTGGAGACTGCATAGTTATCTAATATGCTGAAATGAGAAATGGCCTCTTCAGGAGGGAACACATACCATTTCCCTCTTTCAACATAAAAGGTATCACTTCTCCCCATGAACAGTATTAATTCCTACCCAAATCACACTCTGCCAAGCCACCCAAAAGAGCCAAGTAGGGTACAGAGATTAGAGCAAATGCTAAAATATTTTAGATAAAATTAATGCAAATACATGACTTTGCGTCAGTCACTCTCTTTCTCTCAGTTCAACTTACAGGATTGTTGTTGTGGGGAAAATAGGAAGAGGGAGGAATATTAGGTCACTGCCTTAAATCACTTTTAAAGTAATAAAAGCAGGATAAAAATAGAATAGCAATTAATTTAATAATATGAACAGGGAGCTAACTATAAGAAACCTAAAAAAAATAATACCCAGAAATAAATGCAGAAACTGAAGTCTTGGAAAACAATAAATTATATGACTTTCACCAGAAAGTGCATCCCAGATTCTACATCTAAATATGACTCAACATTCAATGCAATTATTTTAAAATATTTACTTGATATAGAATTAGGAAGAATATGATGTTTCCTAACGGTGGATTCTATTTTTTTTTATAAAATTACTAATATTATTATTATTGATATTGATATTACCAGAGAGCCCATGCACATATTTGTGTGTACACCAGTTGTGCCCTTTCTTGGATCATGAGTTCTTGCACTCAGTCACTCATGCCTTGATCTTCTTGTGTTTGGATTACTGCAATGTGCTCTACATGAGGCTACCCTTGAAGAATATTTGGAAGCTACAGCTAGCATAGAATGCAGTCATGTGGACATGTAACACCACTGTTGTACAAGCTACACTGATTACCAGTTTACTTTGAGGTCCAATTCAAGGTGCCCATTATCACTTTTAAAGCCCTTTTTTGGCATGGGCCCAGACTACCTGAGGAATCATCTCACCCCAATGGTATTGGCCTGCCCAACTTATTTTATCAGAAGGGGTATGTGACAGACATTGCCGGTCAAGGAATTCCAACTAGCAGAGTCCAGGAGAAGGGCTTTTTCCATGGCTCCCACCCTCTGGGACATCGTGCCCCCTGGGGTGAGATTTGTCCCTACCCTCTTGGCCTTCCTAAAGACCCTCAAAACTTGGTTCTGTTGATTGGCCTGGGGCCCTGATGGGGGTCTTCCATGCTGAAGATAGTTAATGGACTAAGAAGAAGATCCCATTCCCACCTGATTGGTTTGTTCGAACTAATCCGTAAACATGGTAGAAGCAATGATAGTTTGCAAGGATAAAAGGATATGGATATGTGTTGCGAACAGTACTGGCATAAACTATGTTTAGTTCATTCTTTTTCTCTTATCTCCTGTTTTAATTTATATTGCTTAGTATTTGTTATTCCATTTCTGCATTTTGCCTAATTTCACTTATCAGGTAAAGGTGACAGGGTGAAGGATATCCAGATATACAATTTCCATGACTATTTTTAGATTTATTTGTGATTGCTTCCTCCCCCCATACTGTATTTTAGGATTAAATGATACAGTAATTCTCAATTTTGCCCAATTACCCCTGGGTGCAGGGGGCTTTTGTCAATGCTGCTGTTGTTCTTATTATTATTCAAAAAAGAATTAGGGACTCTAGAGTAAGATTAAAAGCACTGTTTTGATTGAATTATAGATGTGAACTCTCCTGGTTAACCACATTAACTTCTTAATCATTTACAAATATGCACAATAAAAACCAATGCAACACAACAATAATACACATAAGACATTTTATACAAAGGCTTGCAATTATAAATACATTTATATAAACACAGTATTCTTAATAATAGCCAAAATATCTCATTTGCTAACATAGACAACTACAGTAGTAAACATCTACCATAATTTACAAAAAGATGCCATCTGCTGTGCAAAGGTATAATCAGCAGGCTATTTCTATCAGAGTTGAATACTTTTTCTTCCTAGTATTGATTTTTACCTTCCTTTCTTCAAAGTCTCCCAAATATTATGAGTCAGTACTCATAATAAAGAAATAGAAGTGACTCCAACATGAATTTATATTTTATTCCATCTCAAGATTATGATTAGGTTCATTTAAGAAAGGGAAAGGAATACTGTACCACCTACAGAAAGGTTTAGATACATTCAAGTTCAGGGAGGACAAGCATCTATTTAGCATTTGAAAATAAAACTTATTAATGTTAATATTAACATATTCACCTTTTTATCATCTAATAGGCCCTGAAAATATTTCTTCTTATTTTCTAATTCATTTTTCACATTTTCCTCCTTGTCATCAAGTTCTTGAATCTTCTGATTTAATTCAGCTACTTTCTGAAAAATACAAATCAAAAAAGAGTAATGGAATCTAATCAAAATGAAGTCTCATACATTTGTTATTAAACTTCCATTAGTCATTGGCCAGATTTCTCAAATCTTTAGCAACAGTTCTACCCAATGTTCCCACTACTGAACTTTATTCATCCACAGAGTCAGTCAGTTGCTCCCTCCAGATGGTAAAAGGAAAAACACAGAAACAAGCAGTGAACTAACTGGTGACCCACTTTCATCTTCTCTTATCATTTCAAAGTATGAGGAAAAGGGGCAAAATCTGCCAGAGTGAAAACAAAATAACAAAGTTGTCCCTCAGAATGCTTGGGGAAGACGGGAGAGCCTGGCAAGTTATCATGGCTACAGGAAAGACGCAGATGGATTAGTGAAGAGTTCCCACCAATAGAATGTCATTCGCTCCACCACTTGGAGATACTGGCTGCAAAACTGAAATTGCAGTGTTTGCTCTGGAGAAAGCGGAACTAATAATTTAGCAGCTCAGATTCCTAGACCCCAATAAAATCCAGAAGTCATGGAATACAGAGGGCAGCACTGATCTCAGTGATGGACATTTTTAATTAACTGTTAGGTAACCAAACATAAAAAGTTTTATTCTTAGCATGAGGATGCCTACAATACTGGTTTTCACTAAAACATATGTACAAGATGTACAATTCCTTCCAGATTCCCAATAAACCTTTCTGTCTTTATCACATTGATTCTATTGAGTTTTATGCCTTGGGGAAGAGCTGATAGTATTACTCATTGCCATTAATGTGCCATTTTGAAAATAAAATTATTTCAGTCTCTTTTTTTGCATATCACTGAAGCCATTACAGCCACAGAGAACCAGCTATTTTACATTTAATTTCATTACTGACATGTTGATTTATTCTAAACGTCAATTTGTATCCCACTATATTCTGTGAAGGAAATGCAAAAGTACTTAACAAGCGAAGTATAATGGAGCAATGTTTCAACATGTTCTTATTTAACTTACCTCAGTAAGTTCTTTGTATATATCTTTATTTTTTTCCAGTATTTCTACTTGTTCAGCTGAAAGCAGCTCATATTTTTTTAATTTATTCTTAACTTTTTCCTGTAATTTGTCATGTTCCTTTTTCTTTCTTTCTAACTCTAATTGTAGTGCTTTAATTCTTTTCTGTTTATAAAATAAACAAAATACATTTGAACTAAAGGGAGACATCCAAAAACAGACAGTTCCATTTGTCAAAAATACATATCTCAGACAGATATTGCATGAAACAATTAATATTCACACACTGTATTTTTAAGCATACCACATTTTCATGGTAATTTTAAAAGTTTTCAACATGTATGCTTTTTAAAGTATTCCTTAAATGATGGATTCCTGTGAGCAAACTGGAAAGAATGGTAGAAAAGGCAAAAAGACTTTGAATTACAATGTCTACTAGAAATATAGAAGTTGTAGTTGAAACTGCATGATTCCTGGCAGAAAATATGCTACTATCATCATTATGTTGACAGCATACAGTATTTCTCTTTCAAGTTTCAGAAGAAAACAGTTGCTTTTCAAAAAATCATCTCTTTATAACCAGCCTGCCACAATGTTTCTTTTCTGCTGGGATCCTGGATGGAATAGTAGACAACAGAGGAAATTAGACCCTTCAGGAACCTGGAGCATCCAAATGGAATGCCGTGATTCCAATATCCAAACTGAATCATCATTTTTTTCATCATCCTGATTTTTTATCAGATGCCTATGAGACTTTCTGTCCTGTATTTAAATTCAAAGATACCTTTAAATTAGAAAACAAAAACTCTCATCCCTATATGTTTCTATTTATCTCTCATAAACAGAAGACAATTATCTGATTTTAAGATAAATTATTTGAAAAAAATTGTCTTTCTTTCAAATGAATGCATCATTATTTCACACACATTCTTAGACTGAGCCCTGGTATAAAAATATGTTCCAGATAATCCTGCTTCAAATTGAATGCATAGGGGATAGAGTGAAAAAAGAGATGTACTAAATTGCCTGTTACAAATCTAGGAATTTTGTTGCTGTCTTGTTGCTGCGCTTTAGGAAAATTTTCAACTGTGATATATGACCACCATAATAGCTGGATGGTCCTATAAATCCTGTAGAAGTCCTATGTGGAAAAAAAAACACTAATCATAAGCAGAAATGGTTGCATATTTGTAATTTGTAAATGATCTATTTCATCTTTTAATTCTGTAATCTGAAAGCTGTTCTTTTGTTAACTACTGTTTTAAAAGATATCTGGTTTTAGGGACTTAAGGGGACTTTTAAATTTACCTACAGGATAGCAAGTGAACTGCTCCTTTTTTATATGTAATTTTTTTAAAGATTGGATTAATGGTTTTTAAAAAAAGAAAGATACAATTTGATCATATGAGCATCTGGAGCTGATGGTTTCTCCCTTACCAGGCAAGAAAAGTAGACAGCCAAGAAAACAGCTTTTTATAAGTTCTTCCTTGAAGTACCTTTAGTAGAGTAAAATCATTTTAGTACTATCTATGTGTAGCTTAGCATTCAAGCAGTCTTCCCATACATCATGCCATAAATCATACAGAAGAGATGGTGTGAATAATTAAAATAATAAAAAATATATTCTGAACAAACATTTTAAAAGTTATTTTCCTTACCTGAGTCAGCTTCCAAGCACTTATTTCATCTCTAATTTGTTTTTTAATATTCTCTTCCAAATTCTATAACATAAATAAAACAATTGCAATCAATAGCAGTAGAAAAAAACACAAGAAACTACCACAAAATAAATAATTGCAAATCAGATGAAAAGGGATCAGTTGGATTGCTTTTGTAACTAACCAATTTAAGTATTCTCTTTAAAGGCCGGCTGTAGCATACTTAACTTTTGGGTCACTATTTCTACATTGTTTTAATTATTAAGGCCATATTACAGGATTGCTTTAATGAAGCATTCAAGCTGGTCCTCCTGTTTCTCCCCCCACCACACCTCCAATATGACTGACTCCAGGAAGAATATACAACTTAAAAAGAAACCAGAATGACTGTCCAGCATTTACTGGGGGAAGGGTAAGTGATATTACACAGTGTCTCAATAATGCAAGTGCAAGAACTGGTGTCCTTCTATAGGTTATCTTCCACAGATGGAACTCTTCCGTGAAAATAATTAGAGTAATTTTTCAGAGACAGTCAGTTTGGTGTAGTGGTCAGGGTGCTGGCCTAGAAACCAGGAGACTGTGAGTTTTAGTCCCACCTTAGGCACAAGCCTTAAATGGGTGACTCTGGACCAATCATTCTGTCTAAGCCTTAGGAAGCATGCAATCAAATTTTGCTTCTTTCTTTTGTAGCTACCCAAACATTTTAAAATTTGTTCTGGGGAACAAGGAGATTGGCAAATTATTTGGAACAGTATCAGAACTAGTGTAGTATTACAAAGAGAAGAAATCACTATAGTAACAAGCATCCACCTTCTTATTTATTTGTTAGATTTTATCCTGTCTTTATTATTTTATCAGAAACTCAACATACTTAATATTCCTTCTTCCTCCTGTTTTTCTCACAATAACAACCTTGTGAGGTGGGTAGGACTGAGAAAAAGTGACTGGCCCAAAGTCACACAGCTGGTTTTGATGCTTAAGGCAGGATTATAACTCATGATCTCCAGGATTCTAGGCCAGCACCTTAACCACTACACCAAACTGGCTCTTTATTTAGTTACTAACATTTCATATTGAATGTAGGATAGCTGATGGATCATACCCCAATTAAAATTATTCTAGTTTCTTTCATATGTATCATGTTATCTCTCTCCTGATTAATAGAATTTACTTTTTAATTCTATAAGAATTACGTTTTCAATTACAGAAATTTGAAATAATCAAAATCTTAGTAAAATTCAACTATAAGTCACAGGAAATCTAACATATAATTATTAGCTAGGCTAGATGCAGATTTTGACATCCTGTCAAAGTTGGATAAAGAATACAATATATTTCTTCATTAGCAATGGATGTAAAAATCTATCTGCAAATACTCTCTTGAATAGTGATGCTTGCCCCTAGATTTACCAACAGTGCATAGAAAAGAATAATGCAAAATATGGCTAAAAACTATACTAGAAAAAGTGGCCTGGCAAGCTTCTTGAACTAGAAAAAGAATCAGATATGAAGTTTTTCACAGAAATGAAATAAATATTACTGAAAACTTGTTTTTTCCAGAAAAACAATTTCTTTAAATACAAAATTGGATTAATGCAATAATATTCTATTCTGCTCAGTGCAATAATTTAATGTCTTATAATTAAATATAATTCAATAATATTAAATAACCTTGAAACGTGATTTTTCTTTAATAATGCCTTGATTCAGTTCTTCCAGTTTTGTTTTGGCGTCATCATAAGCCAATTCAGCACCATAAAGGTCTTTATTTACTTTTTTTAAATGTTCTTCCAGTCTACGAATATTTTTCTGCAAAACCTGAATTTCTGATTGGTATTCCATTTTCCTTCTTGCACTATTTAAAACAAATTTAAAAACTGCTTACAATATTAGCATTTTTAATAATTTAGAAAGGCTACATCTTTTGTTATGCTTTTATAAAGAAATGCCACAGTTTGCTTCATCTTTTATAATTGGGAGTTCACTGATATAATACAAATTTATTTTTTAAATATATTTATAGAGTAAACAAAAAAGCTGTATTTATCATTATAAATTTAACCCTTATTTGTTGTGAAGAAACTTAGAACTGTCATCTTCAAATGCTAATAAGGCTAGATATGATTATTAACTGACTGGAAGAGCTGTAGGCTAGACAGCTGAGCAAAAACATCTCAGCAGAAAGCATTTTGGTCTCATTGTCACGAAAACCATTTGTACATGAGCATGAAATTACTAGGAATTACAAAGAGTTTGCCTTCTACAGTATAACTAGAAGAGCACAAATATAGCTGAGAGATTTTATATGGCAGTGATAAAGGCATTAGATTTAAATTGTCATTAATTTGTCTTCTTAGGTTGGAAGAGACCCCTATCCAGTAAGGTGAGATGGACTATGGACTTGCTTCAGTTAGAATCTAAGACGACAAAATCTTAATTGAATCCCAAGGGAAATCCAGCCAAATTCTAATCATATTAGAGCACTGAAAGTTCAATAAGAAACTCATAGTAAAATTTTAAAGAATTTTGATTAAATTACTTCTAAACTAGGAGACTCCTTATAAATATTTAACTGAGTACCATATAGCATCAAACCTAGACCTTTGGTTTTAATTAGTTTAATAGCTGCTGGAAAATAACTGTTACTAAACTGATCTGCAAATTTAGTAATTGGAGAATACTTTGGGGGCGTTCATTAGAAGATCGCTTGTTGGAGTAGACCAGCAAGTAGAACATTGAAAACATACATCTAGATTTTCAGATGCTTGATATTTTTACCATTGATCATCCATCTAATTGGGGCATTAAAGTGATTCCTATAGAATAGCAGTACTTTTGTTCTAGAATAATTTATTTGATGGCTTTCACTAGAGCAGTAAAATGATAGAGCTTTAAGGCATCTCAGAGGCTTACTAAGTTAAAGACAAAAACTTAGGAATCAGCATAAAGTAGAACAAAAATGAGGCAGCAGGCAAGGGAAAGATGATAGCATTCTGGTTTAGGAAACATCTCAACAATATTGTTAATGTAAAAGTTGAATAAAAGTGGGGTAAGAATATAATCTTGCTTTACATTTTTGCTAGTGCAAATGGGTTTAGTTAAATGACCAAGATATTACCTTTACTTGAATAGTTGTTCTGAGGTGTAATAAAATTATTAACCTAAGAACAAAGCAGTCTATTGTTGTAGTGGCAAATTTCCCCCCAGTTGTTCTCGCAGAATAGTATTGAACCATGGTTTATACTTAACATTATGCATTAATCCCCATCACAGCATTTTTAACAAAGTATGTTTAAAAAAAGCTATACCTTAGCAAAATTATAAAGTAGTTATTGACTAACTTCACTAAACATATTCATACATAACTCAGTTTTGATCATTGTATCTTTAATCATGGTTTTCACTAATTTATTCAAAATAGACATTCTGTATTTTCCTGAATTATTTCATTGTCATTAACAAAAATGATATTACACTGTCTTCTTTTCAAATATTATGCTAACTCCTCAGATATAGAAACAAACCTTGGAAACATTTTTCTTAGATAATGGTCTAGCAAATTAGTTGCTTTCTTATGATTTCTACTTTGACATCTTGATATGCAAAGTGGCACCAATTTTAATATTAAATGACCACATCTCCCTTGTTATGCCTAACATATCTGCACATTCCTCTAAAATCTAACAGCTCCATTTCTGTTACTTTGTTCTAGGTTTCTTCTATTAAGATATAAATATTACCCATACTATCTTTTTTCAACTACCTTTTACACTTACTTATATCTTTGTAACTTCATTGAATTCCTTTGTCTCACTCTATACTATTTAGCACAATTTATTCTTGACCAGAATTTATAAAGTAGTTCTCAACTTATGACCAGTTGCTTAATGATAGTCCACATCAGAGCTACTTACAACCTTTTTTTTCAAGTTACAATGGCCACATTCATCCTGATGCTCACTTGATCACTTTGGAAGCTTGGCAACCAGCTCACCTTTATGGCCATTTGCAGTGTCCTGCAGTCATGTGACTGAAATTTGCAACATTTTTTGCTGGTTGCCAGTATTTACTTCTGGTTTCTTGCAAAAATGCCCATTGGGGAAAATGGATTCACTTAACAATCATGGCTTTTGATTAACAATGGTGGCATTTACTTAATGACCACAGCATTTATTTCATAAATGTGGCGTTCCCTTAGTAACCATAAAAAATAATTGTATCATCCAATCTGGTCACTAGATGATACAACTTCCAACTGCAATGTCTTACTACTATAATTTTGGGCTCACTTATGGTTGTAAATCAACAAGTACCTGATTCCATCATTTAAATAATCTGCTTTTTTGTAATCTGATCTGCACACTTAGAAAACATTTTTTAAAACTGTAGAATGAGTGAGTTTTCAGGGAAATTTATTAAGACATGGTAAGCTGCTTTCTTGTTTTAACGAACATATAGTATAAACATTTTCTTAGGAACACAATATACATTTAAAAAATTATTACATCACTTCCATATTTGATTAATTACTGCTTACTAAGCAAAAATAGGCTTTAATCTGCTAAAATTAATTAGTATTAATTAGCCTAAGAATTAATTAATTGCATAAAATTCTTAAATGGCCACTTCGTATTCACATTCACTGTTGCTTATTCCAAGGGGTTCATATTCTTAATTCTGAGATGAAGCAAAATTAGTCTGTTGTTACTACAGTACAGATAGTCCCCAACTTATGACCAAAATTGAGCCCAAAACTTCTGTTGCTAAGTGAGACAGTTGTTAAGTGAGCTTTGCCCCATTTTAAAACCTTTCTTGCCCAGCTGTTAAGTGAATTACTGCAGCTGTTAAATTAGTAACAGTGCTATTAAGTTAATCTGGCTTCCCCATTGACTTTGCTTGTCAGAAGGCCACAAAAGGTAATCACATGACCCCGGGACATTGCAGCCATCATAAATATGAGTTAGTTACCAAGCATCTGAATTTTGATAATGTGACCATGGAGATGCTGCAACAGCTATAAGAGTGAAAAACAGTAATAACTTGTTTTTTAAGTGCTGTTGTAACTTTGAACAGTCACTCAATGAATGAACTGTTGTAAGTCAAGAACTACCTGCATTCTCTTTGACTTCTTTTAATCTCTTTTCCCTTCCCTGCCCCATTTCATATCACCTTAGTATGGGCAAGATGGACTTTGTGTTTATGTATTAGGATGGGATAATATCATTTTTAAATTTGAAAACATTATAAATTATCAGTTTAGCATTAATACCTGAAGTTAAGCTAAATAAGATTTTAGGCAAGTTCAACAGAAATCATCTAATCTCTCCAAATAATTGACATACAACTCAAATGATTTATGTCTTCAATGAGAATAAAAAAGACTAAAAATGAAATACTGTTAAATTGGGGTTATTCAGAATGTAAGCTTTTGGGTGTTAACACAGTGCCACTTACCTCTCTCTGAATTTGTACGTAAATCCGGCATTTTCATTTTTAAGATATTGGATTTCATTTTGCAAACAAGTGAACTGCTGAAGATTGTTTGCAAGCTTATCCTTCAGTTTTTGTAGATCAGACTCTTTACTGGATTTCTACAGATAGCATATATATATCATATGAATAATTATGAAAATAAATAATTTCATATCACATGAATTGAATGGAAAAACATTATATATATATATATATATATATATATATATATATATATATATATATATATATGAATTCTAAAACTCACTGAGTTTTCCATAGTCTTCATCTCTGCAAAAAGCTCATCCATCAATTGTTTGTTTTCATTTTCTTGTCTTGAAATTTTCAACTTCAAACGCATTTCCTAATATTAAAATACATTATTTAATTTATAGAATCAACTTCAAAATTAATCTAAATTGATAGATATCACTACATCTTATGCAAATATATCACATAATCTTAACTATTCTCTGTGTGAAGGATTTCCTTTTCTCAGTTTTGAATTTCTCACCATTTAGCTTTATTGGAAGACCCCAGTTCTTGTAGATATTTTCTTTATTAATACATAATTTCTTTACATCATATATAATTTTATACATTATAACAAAAAATTTTGTTGTTGTTAATTGCGAAGTCGTGTCCGACCCATCGCGACCCCATGGACAATGTTCCTCCAGATCTTCCTGTCCTCTACCATCTTCTGGAATCCATTTAAGTTCACACCTACTGCTTCAGTGACTCCATCCAACCATCTCATTCTCTGTCGTCCCCTTCTTCTATTGCCCTCAATCTTTCCCAGCATTAGGCCCTTCTCCAGTGAGTTCTTCCTTCTCATCAGGTGGCCAAAGTATTTGAGTTTCAACTTCAATAACAAAAATTGGATGTCTGTAAATCTCCTGATCTACATTTGTCCTAAGCTAAAATGTTCCTGAAGATATAATGTTTCTCACAGAGAGTTGCTCAAGTTTCTTGGTTACTTTTATAACTCTTTTGGATCTTTCTCAGCTCTTCGAGGTCTGATATGTCTTTGAAACCCAATTGCTGAGCAATATGAATGAGGCAGTATTACTGTGCTTATGGACAAATCACATGAAACACCTCTGGTTTGCCACTGAGGAAGCAGAATGCTGGACTAGATAAGTTTATCACTTGATACAAACATATGTTTGCACCCATCTTGAATCCTGAATTGTCCTTCTTTTGTTTTACAGAAGAACACTGACAAAGTGAGAAAAATTTCTTGCAAGCAAACTGCAGAGAAAATTCTTGTCAGCTTTCTTTCGTCATGCAGCTTCTTCCTATATTACTCAGGTGAGTTCCCTCAGCTCTACAGAGCAGGAAGAAAAGGAAATAATTGTGTGTTGTTTCTCATTATTGATAGGGCATTTTAGCTAGCTAATTTCCATTCATAGGAATTTACAATATATTAATATCAAAATTATAGAGGACTAAAAGTACATTCCTGTAAATGTTTACTAGGAAGTCTCATTAATTGGGACTAATTCCTAAATAAGATTGTGTTCTTAATTATCTGTCATATATAGTAATTTAATGGCACCCATCCTGAGGAGGGATAAACAAGGTTGATGTTAACCCAAGGGAACCTGTTGGGATTTGTAGGCCCTAGGTGCTAAAACATGCTGGATACTGATTTTGGAATGTGCAAAATGGAATGTATGTGATTTTTAATTAAATATTTTCACTGTACTATGTAACACATTTATTAGTTGATTGCAAATTGCCTATGTTTTTAGTAGATATAATTGTAGGATTGCATGTGCTATTGTAGTTTTGAAATTTTCATGCTTTGCACTTAATATTTAAAACTCACTTTATCACGCCAAGAATATAAGTCAGCTTTTATATCTGCTTCTTGCTTGATTAGCTCTTCAAGGCGATTTTCATTTTCTAGTATTTCTTCCCTCAATCCATGTATTTTGTTATTGATGTCAGCATAAAACATGTCGGTTTCTTTTAACTCATCCCTAAAAAGCAGCAAGAATAAATTATCTATTTCTCCAAATAAATTAAAGATGAAGTGAATATTTATTGGTATAATTGCAGTTCTATCTATCTCTTTATAACTGCAGGTATCCTTTATACCAGGGGTCCCTAACTTTCTGGGTTGGTGGCCAAGTGGGAAAGGGAGAGGCAGGCACCTTTATGCGTGCATGCACATACACACACAAACAAATGTAGCTGCATGCGCGCGAACGGGGCTATGAGCATGCATGTTCTGCAAATGGGAATGGTAGTGCCAATGCAGAACATGCAACTCGGCTAGTGCTGGCACACAACTCAGCTAGCACCGACACGCAACTCGGCTAGTGACGGCGCACAGCTCACAGGTTGACTAGTGCCAGCGCACAGCTCACAGGTTGGCTAGCACCAGCAAAAGGCTCGTGGCTTGGCTAGCGTGAGGCTTGGGGCTCAGCTACCATTGGTGCAAGGGGGGCGAGTGCACACACATGCATGGATGCACAAGCCAGCCACTCAGGTGGCCTGATGGCCAAGAGGCCATGACCCGGTAGTGGGCTGCAGCCCATATGTTGGGGACCTCTTCCTTATATCATTAGTAAATGTAGCAACAGTACTTTCTTAACTTCTGATATCTAGCATTCATGTAAGTCTAAGCACATTGATGTAAATTTCATTCATTTCTATATGCTTTACAGCCCACAGGTTTCTACAACCTTAGCTTCTCAGTCAACTTATATTTTTGCAGGATAATAGTGTTTAACACTGTATATTGGAAACTAATAAGACAGGACAGGGAGAGCAGCAGGAACACTGGGCTTGCTCACTAACAGCAAATATAGTATGTATTTTATATTCTAAAAAGTATCCTAGAAAAATTGAGTGCAGAAGTATTTCTACATCTTAAAATATCTGCCAAGGAAGATAAATTAGCTTCTCTTCATATAATGGCGGGTAACCAATACTTAGTGATTCCTCTATCCTTCTTGTGGAGAGGATCCTACAAAATACTATTGAAAAAACCTGCAGCAAGAAAGAGCAGGAAGAAAGCCCTGTTCCCTGAGCAGAATTCTGTTCATAGTAGATGGGATCCAATCCAGACATTCATCAAAAGTTTGTTTTTACTATGGTGAGGAATTTCTGATTGTAAATTCCTTCTTTTGGTAATCTGCAATGATACACAGTTAAGGAGAACTGCTAGACACAACACTAAGATTGGGATATCTCATAGACACAGAAGTTCTGCTCCCAAGTCAGAGAACAGTTTTGTTGTAATTAGGAATATTACCTAAATTATGATTGCTATCACTGATAAAAGACACTTTCTATATAATAACTAGGATCGCCCAAAACATTCTGTGCACAAAACAATTATTTCTGGCTGGTTCATGCCTGGAATTAAGCATACATTTGAGATGTATTGGTTCATGCACTGAACAAAATTGATTCAGGGGTCTTTCAGAGAAGGGGAAAAGCTACAAAAAGCCAAAGATATTAGCTGTGGCAGATGAAGGAAGGGATGGAAGGACAAGACTGGCATGTATTTCTCTTTCTTTCTCTTCATCCCCTCAGTAGCAACCAACTTGACGTACTGGACGAATTTCCTTCATCTCCCTTCAGCTGCTGTCAATAACTCAGCATGACAAGATCCACTAGCCCACTTTCCTTATGCTCTTCCTCTCTCCTGCCCAGAGTGCAAGATAGTTTTTTTTTTATGTTCCAGAATCCATTCCTCATTCATTTCTGGCTACAAGAAAATTCCACAAGCTTTGCCTATATCACATATTAGCTTAAATTAATACCTTAATTAATCCTTACCACATTACTTCTTCTCCTCCCTTTAGCAAAAGTTCTACTATTTCTCCTATTCTTTCAAACCAACAATTTTTTGCCTGAAAAACCTTGCAGGGATTTGACCAGGCAGTCTCTGAGAATTGGACAAGATTGAATAGAAGCATATAAATATTCTTTATATAAACACAACATAGCTTTCTAAAATAATCAAGATCTGTTTCTATGTGCAGTATAAATGGAGATTGCCTGAAGAATAATTCTCTTGGAAAATTAAAATATACTTACCTAAGTTGGTTTAATGTAGTCTCATCGGCTTCTATTTGCTCAAACATATATTGTCTTTTTGTTTCACATTCTTCTTTGATTTCTTCATGCAGTTTTTGCACTTCCAAATATTTCTGATGAACAGTATCATATTGAGTTTTTGCCTTTGAAAGAAACAGAAATTAATTTACAATATAAAACTAAAAGTATAACAAGGATTGTAACAATACTCAAGGACCATAATGAAATAATGCAACCTTTTGACAAGCAAAGTCAATGGTGAAGCCAGATTCACTTAACAACCGTATCGCTAACTTAACAACTGCAGTGATTTACTGCACTGCATTGTGTATTGTGCTCAATTATGGTCATAAGAAGGGCTACCTGTACAAAGAATTTGAAAGAGTTAACTTATACTAACCTACTATGATAAAAATATCTAACATCACATTTTTATCTCACTAACATATTGTGAATTTATTATCTGAGTGTATTTGTCTGGTAAACACTAACTTCTTTTTATTTTATTTTCTGTATCCCCAAATGCTTTTCATGATTTGGAGATAAGAAATCAAATAAATAATCCAATTGCTACTGTCCAAAATAATATATGTGAGTATAGCTGTATCATCAGACTTAAAGAATTAAAAAATGCTTAATACTTCAGTTAATATTTGTTCAAACCTTTTTGCAAATAGCCAGTAACAAACAATAGTGATAAAACAATACTCATGCAATAACATTATCCAACAAATTCCACTATTATTTATCCATTTACCAGATTTTTGCATTTGTGTGATGACATTGAGATGCTCATGTTGTTATTTGTTCCCCTTTAACCTCTTCATAGACACTGATGGTATTATTACAATATTGTAATTATTATTGGTATTGGTGTTGGTATACAGATATTATTACAATACCATCAGATTCTTTTTTCCTCTTACAGACATGACTATTCATGACTGTTCAGAATCTTAGGCATTTTTTTATTTTTCTTATTTATTTACCATTGCTATTTATTTTTCTCATACATTAAATATGGATATTCATGTAGAAAATTACTTTTCTTTTCTTTTAAGATACTGATGTCTTAATAATATAATGCAGGGTTTATAAATTTCAACTCTGTGTGTGTGTTTGTGTGTGTGAGAGAAAGAGAGAGACAGAGAATGTGCATGTATGTATATGAGTAAAGCACTAATAGGGTCTTATTTGAATGGTAATCCAATTAATATGTACTTTCCAAATTAAGTAAATCCCACCCAATATTAGGAGACATAGTCCTAAACTATTTTTTATTTTGCTTTGAATGGAGCCATTACATAACGGTATTTTTTTTAAATAGGATGGAGCTACTAACAATAGAGCCAAAACAACATTTTGTTCTAGAATTTTTCCAAAATTCCGAAACTCAAGAATTCCATGGATTCAGATTCCAAACTGCACCTCAATCTTTGGAAATTAGGTTTAATATAACTAGTTTTTTAATCTGGCTGTGAGAATCTAATAATGAGGCTCATCTTTATTAAATCACTATTTATATTCATTTGTTTGTTTCACGGTGCTTGCCCATCTCACCACCACTCACCATTCTGGGCAGCAGAAAGAAAATTAAAACCAGAAAATAACAAAACAACTCTATTAATTGAAAAGGAAATTACAATCACAATTTCATATGCAAAACAAAGATTCTATTTTCTATAAGGAAGACATTATATACCAAAGTCAAAACTTGATAAGAATTAAAGGGGTAAAATCTACAGGTAACATTTTAATTTTTATAAGAAAATAATGATCAGATATAATCAATACTATTATATATTTTAATATTTAATCTTATATTGATACCTTGAACAATTGATCAAACCTATCATTGCTATAATAAAATTGTATTTTGATTTCATAAGAAGTTATATTCTTATTTTTCATTCTCATAAGAATGGGCATTGTGCTATTTTTTCACATATTTTCATGTTTAGGTATTTAGCATTATTGCTGGACACAGAAATTTAAAATGCACACGCAATAAATAAAAAATATAACAAAATATAATTAAAATATTGAACCCCTTTACCTCCTCAAATAAAGTTTTTACTTCTTTCATTGAATCATCTTCATGACATAGCTTTTCTTCCAGCAGAGGGCTGCATTTCTTCATGAAGTTTATCTGCTTTTGCATCACTGAATTGGCTGCCTCTATTTTTGTCAGTTGGTTTAGTGCATCCTGTAATTGCTCATTTTTTTCTTCAAAATGCCACTGTAATTCTATTATATCCTGCAAACATTTCTCCCATTCTGCAAAGTATAAAAGAAACTATTTCTTATAAGAAAATGATAATTATTGCTTTTAAGTTTAAATATGTAACAAGCTGCTAGATTCTAAAATATATGTACATTTCTCTTCAAAAGATAATTTTATATCATCTGTCTATAAAACAATGCTGTAATTGCATTTTCTGAAGAAAATTAATGTCCATACTGCATAGTAGTCTATGATACATTTTTTCAGTAGTACAAATAAATAAAAAGCTAAAGATTTGATTTTTTTTTCTGTTTCAATTGGTTAACTTTTTTCTGATACCATTATTAACACAGATATAAAGAATCACTCATGCTATATTGCTGGAATACTCAGATTGGTTTTTTTAAAAAATGGGCAATAGCAATTTCTAGAAAAGACAAATCTCACATTTTTGCTGATATCTGAACACAAAATGAATTATGAAGATAGCACCCCAAATGATTTCTTGTAGGTAATCAATACTATATAATAGTTCCAGAGACCACCTCTGGAGTCCATTTTGCATTATGAATAATTACCTAAATCTTGCAGAATGTATGTTTCTAGTGTTCTTGTTTTAAATGCTGTTCAATATACATAATCTTCAACAGACTTTAGAAAACAGAACATGACAAGAAAATTTTGTATATTATCCTTGTGAAATAGTGAAGGAGTCTTATTTTGACACTATTGGACAAATTTCCAGTCTCTTTTTTTTTCCTTGGAGAAGGTTGTTGAAAAAGTAATGGCAAATCAACTATATATGATTCCAAAGGATACAGATGACCTGAAAGTTTTCAGTGAGGATTCAGATCTTAATTTGGAATTATGTGTTTACTGTGTTGTTACCTATGCTGAGTCTGTTACGATAGGAAATCCCTATAATCTTGTAAATCCATTAGTGTTGTTTACTTAATGTGTTTTCTCTGTGGTCAAACCTCCAACTAATCTCAAGAAAATCTCAATGGCTCCTATAGTCACAAGTGAAGCAAAATGTCATATTAATTAAAAATGGGAATGTGCACAATTGTTCAGAGTAGAACAATACACTGCTTGACATGAACTTGATACAAAAGAGGACTGTTAATACACTCTTATCAAATAGACTCTAAAGAATATTAAGTTGTTAAATATGACATTTAAACAAAAGAGAATTTCTGAACAAACAGCAAGTAGATGAAATAATGATCACCAATTAATGTTGGTGATCAAAAAGGAATGTTCTGTACATCTCAAATTTTCTTGGAAGCAAAAGTAGTAACAGCACTATGGAGAAATGGTTTGCAAAGTGTTGCTTTAGTACCATACTCATATAAATGCTACGCATGCTAGCAAGCTCCCTCAGAGAGATCTTCAGTAAGGTTAAGTGAATTTGCAGTAATATTTTTTAAAATTACATTTTTTATTTAGGGACTTCGGCATACTGATCTAGCAGAGTGTATAACCAGGCTCCTATATCTTCTGAGGTCAGAACATACATATTTCCAAGAACTGTTTTAGATTTGCTCAATGCTTGGAAAGAAGTCTACAAAGTTTTGTACACATTTCTGCACTATGTGTGAGCATATTTATATATATATATATATATATATATATATATATATATATATATATATATATATATATATATATATATATTCCTTAAAGTTTTGGAGATTATAATATTGACAATATAATGTACAAAGTACTATCAGTATCAACAGAAGAGATTATCTGTAGCTCAGGGCTGAACTGTGGGTCTTTGGTGCTCTCTGTGGTTGTTGTTTTTTTTTTTTTTTTGCAGATGTTTCATTACCAAACTAGGTAATATCATCATTGCTAGACCTGATGGTGATCTAGCACTATTTAGTTGGTAATGAAGCATCTACAAGAAAACAACCAAGCTCAGAATATTATCAGGATGTTGATTGTAAAGCAATAAGCAAATTTACCAAGGAATATTGACAATATCTTCCTGATGAATATACATGCTCACATTTTAATAAAACTTAAAATTTAAATAATAGCAGTATACAGAACTTTGGTCTTTTGGACATGGTAGATTGGATTTTTTAAAAATTCAGTGGCTAAAATAATTCTCCTCTCTCTTGAAATATTATTTCATCACAGTCATTTCAAATGCTTCCCAAGAATAACAATTTCATATCTTTTTCCCCCAGAAGTTTTAAAATGGCACAAAAATATATACCTTTTTTTAAAAAAAATGGCTATTTCTTATACCTTTTTGAACAGCTTTGGGAAGCTGTTGTAGTCTCCAAAATGACAGTTTATCTGAATTTAGGTATAGTTTTTTTCTATGTTGCTTCTCAAACTCTAAGGCTTCTTCAGCATCTTTACGCTCATTTTCTAATCGTGAAATTAACTCGGTGACGTCTGCTACAACAGCAGCAGTTTTCTGCTTTAAAGACTGAATATCTTCAATTAAAAAACAAGTAGTATTATTGAATGTAACAGCACAATTTCCCAAAATACATAATTTAAGTTTCATTTTAATGTTACTATGTAGCACAGTCCTAAAAAACTAATGCACAAAGTTTCAGATTTCTATACAAACTGTGTATGCAAATCTACATACAATTTGGATTTTTCATGTGCTATCCTACTACAGAATAGGTACAATAACATCTTAAAATACCAATTTTTTTGAATATTCAGAAGAAATTCTAATCAGAATAAAAGCAAAACATTGCTGGGATTGGGGTCATCACTAACATGAGCTCATATGAGAACATTGCCTACTTCTACCATCACATAATTTGAATGGAAGGGCTTAGCAGCTTTCAATCAGCCACTCGAATTGAAGGACAATAGCGAAATGTCCAATTCACTTGGGCAGATTTAATTAAATATGAACCTACGGGGGTGGGATGAAGGTATATTTCAATAATTCCAGAAATGTTGCACGTAGACTTCCCTTCTCTTAAGAAAAATGATGCCTGTCTCCAGAAATCTTGAATTCAGATAGGTGTTACTATTCCACTTCAAACAAATAAAAAGTTAATCCCATCAATGAGTCAATCATTCTTATGTGAACTATATCTTAAAGCAGTAAATCTTCAGTTGAGAATTTAATGGTTCATTCAAAGTTTATTTAGAAGAAAAAAATCTAAAAACCATTTTTAACATTAATTTAAGAAGATTAAGCTTTAACATTCTGTTTTTAAACATTATTTATTTTTATCTTAGTTGCTTCAAAAAGACAGAAGATAACAGGATGTGCTGCAATCATTTGTAAAATGCTGCTGAAAAGATGCAGAATAAAGTGTAGACAAACATTGTTTTTATATTAACTGGTGTGGGTTTCTTTACACTCAAAAGGCAAACCACCCTTTCTGGTAAATGCCAGTGGTTGTAAGCAGAGCAATTTCACCTTTTAAAGCAGTGGTTCTCAACCTTTCTAATACCGCGACCCCCAACCGGTCGTAAGTCGAGGACTACTCAACTGGTGCAGCACCATTTGCAGAATGGGACTTTTGGCGGGCTCAGCAGGGCAGAGACAGCCTGGACAATGCCTATTGGCTTTTGAAAGCCAATAGAATTAGACTCTATTCAAGAGAGTCTATTCTATTGGCTTTCAAAAGCCAATAGAATAAAAGGGAGTAGCACAGCTAAGGAAAAGGGGGGGGAAAATGGCGGACTGCGTTGTTTGGCGACCCCCGTGAAATGGTCGTTCGACCCCAAATGGGGTCCCAACCCACAGGTTGAGAACCACTGTTTTAAAGCATTGCAGATATATAGACCTGAATCTAAAGTAATGATTTCAACTTCAACTTGATTCTTTCTCTCTCTACATAATTAGAACATGACTCTTTCTCTCCCTGCAATTTCCTTTGCCTCCTTGATAGATGGGACATTAAGGACTTGACACACACCTTATATTGATTAAAATGATTCTCTTTTTCACTGTTTTATTAGAAATGTTTCAATATTTTAAAATCTAAATTGTAAACTGGATTATACTTTAGCTCTCAAACATTCCCATTATTTCATGATTCTCTGGAAATAATTACAATTAAACATCATTAATATTAAGAGAAAGTAATTAAATATTCACCGAATATTACCTTTCCAGTGTAATGAATGTTCAGCCTTCACTTCAGTAGAGAATGGTAAACAGATCCCTTCAGTCTCTTTGACAGTATTAACATCCAAATCCCTGGGAATATAGGTCAGCATTATAGTCTTGGATCTTCTTTCCAACACTGTACATTAGCATTGTATTTTCTCTCTTCATCACTTTCAAGATGCTATTTGTTTAACTTCTTAATTCTCCATTTTAATCTCAGCCCAAAGAAGTAATGGGCAATACACTTATATTTTTGCTTATTTGAATATAAAACATGTAATATACGGCATGCTTAACAATAAATAAAGGCCCTGAAGTGTCAGTCCTGAAGAACAGTTGCAAGAATTGGGTATGTCTAGTTTAATGAAAAGAAGGGCTAGGGGTGACATGATTGCTCTAGTGTTCCACTATTTATGGGCTGCCACAAAGAACAGGGGGTCAGCCTATTCTACAGAGCACCTAAAGGAAGGACAAGAAGCAACGTATGGAAACTACTAAAAGAGAGAACCAACTTAGAACTAAGGAGAAATTTCCTGATAGTGAGATCAATTAATCAGTGGAATGACTTGCCTCCAGAAGTTGTGAGTGCTTCAACAATGGAGGTTTTTAAGAAGAGGTTGGACAACAATTTGCCTGAAATGACATAGGGTTTCCTGCCTAAGCAGAGGCTTAGACTAGAAGACCTCCAAGGTCCCTTCCAACTCTTTTATTCTGTTAATTCTCAATGGGCTAGAAAGAGAAAATGATTAAACACAGTAATCTTCAATTTACAACTACAACTGGAATCAAAATCTCAGTCATTGAGCAAAGCAGTCCATTAAGCTTCCCTTGACTGGAATCTTGGAAATCTCTGTGGCAGTTGTTAAATGATCTCCCGGGTCTTTAAGTGGACAGAGCAATAGCTGCCTGCCAGAGGGTTTCAGCTCCATGCAAAAATCTTCCTGGCAAGCAGCCATTTTGCTCTCAAAATGTTCTTGCAACTGCTGAAGTATTCAGTTTCCTTTGATGCATAGAGATGAAATCCTTTGGTGAGCTGCAAGCATGGACATAAAATCTTCAGGATTTTTTTTTTTCCATTCCTGAGAACGCCAAGGGATTTCCGTTCCCCTCTGTGGAGGAGAATTCCTTCAGTGGTCTACAATGAACAGAGCTGAAATCTTTAAGCTTCCTGGACTCTTTGATGGGCTGCAGGAATGGAGTTGAAATCCTGAAAGAGAAGCTCCTGTCCATGCATGTCACTGTGAGACAGGAGGTCTCTTAATTCTGATAACTAAATAAATCTCTGTGGGCTGCAGAAAAAGATGTGAAATCCTAAAAATTTCAATTCTGTTCCTGAAGCCTGCCAAAGGATTTCAGCTTCTCTCTGTCCCCTCTGCTTGCTACCTTCTCTGCCATCTTTCTCACTAACTTTCTAAGGAAGTCAGCAGAGAAGATTGCAAATAGCAATCACATAATTGCAGGGCATTTAGCAATTGGCCTCAAATGTGAGTCGGCTGCCAAGTGCCAGAAATGGAGTCATATGACCCTGGGGGGGGGGCGTCTATAACACTTTACAATAGCTGGAAGTTCTTTAGGGGGCTTTAAAGCACTCTTTCGAAGACCATGTAACTTTGAATGGTCATTAATCAACTTGAGGATTACATGCACATAAAAACTAATAATAGTATTATATATAATGAAATGGATTTAAATTGTATTAAAATCAATATTAAAACAAGGTTATTTTTTTTGGCCTAATATCAGATCTTGACCTGGCCCAATTTTTCTGGTAACAGCATGTTAAGTTTAAATCAACAGAATGGTAATTGGCACTATTTCTCTTTATATTTTAGTTAGAAGACTATTTATAATAATTATTGAATTAAAACATATAATTTTCTTACCATGGAAGTTTTCCCAAGTTATATAAAATTTCATGCTGTGAATATAAATCAGATTTTCATTGAAACATTTCATTTTTTAGATTTTAGATTTTCCTGCATACATACATAACCACAATACTTTTCCCTTTCAGGGTAGCAACATTATGCAAAGTACAAGAAAAGATTAAGTATTTGTAAAATTAATGACAGAAATTAACGACAGGAAAAAAATGAAAATTGACCTTCTAAACTCCTTTCCAGTGGTGGGATTCAAATATGTGATCAACCGGTTCTCTGTGTGGATGCTGCTTCCGGAAGTTCATTCTGAGCCTGGGCAACAAAAAATTAGCTACCGGTTCTGCTGAACTGGTGCGAACCGGCTGAATCCCACCACTGCTCCTTTCATATATTTGTTTTGCAATTCAAACTTAATTCATCATTTCTGTGAACAAATTGTGGTCTAGTGGTTAAGGCACCAGGTTAGAAACCAGGATTCTGTGAGTTTGTCCTGCCTTAGGCATGAAAGCTGGCTGGGTGATTTTGGGCTAATCACTCTTTCTCAGCCCAACTCATATCGCAGGATTGTGTTGTGGGGAAAACATAAACAGTATTAGATATGTTTTCCACTTAAATATAATAAAATCTAAAAAATGTACTTCTTTTGTACAATCACTCACCTTTGTATTCATTCCATTTAGTTCACAACAGTCTTTACCTTGTCTATTTACCACACATACTTCTTAAAATTCTCATTTCCACTGAACTTTATTTTTAAACTTTTCTTCATATATCTGACTTTCATTTCCATATAATAAATGCACATGTTCTTATGCAAAGACATTTTCACTTCTTTGACAAACCTTCAGTTTTTTGTAGCAGAGCAGTCTGCTCATTGTCTTCTTACTTGTATTTGCACATCCTAAAATTTCTCATTTCCCATTTTTAATAAAAAATTCTATCAAAGGTATATAATTTCACTTACTAAATCTAATTTTTCATAATTCATAACTTATAATCATTCATTCAATTTCTCCTGTCATTGTTATACAAAGCAGTTTTGCTTCTTTTCAGAAACATTCTTTTTGCATATCCTATACATTACAACCCATTACCTTTTTATCAACAACTCCATGTTTTAAATTTGTTCAGTCACCTCATATTATTTCAACAAGAATACTGCTACATAACCACCCATTATGGACTAATGTTATGCACATTTACTATAGCCTAATCTCCCCATATTTGCATTTACTCTACCTTTTACTTTATAGAAAGGAACAATTTTGATCTTTAGATTTAAAAAATGCTTTATACATGTTTAAAAAGTTGCACAGCTACTTCATAAGTAAAGCATGTCCCTATTTTAAATTTTCTCCACTTATGTCATTTGCACCTTACTATTTTTCAAGAATTAATAATAATAATAGTAGTAGTAAAGTTGGAAGGGACCTTGGAGGTCATCTAGTCCAACCCCCTGCTCAGGCAGGAAACCCTACACCATTTCGGACAAATGGCTGTCCAGTATCTTCTTAAAAACTTCCAGTGTTGGAAAATTTACTGCTTCTGGAGGCAGGCTGTTCCACTGATTAATTGTTCTCACTCTCAGGAAGTTTCTCCTTAGTTCTAGGTTGCTTCTCTCCTTGATTAGTTTCCACCCGTTGCTTCTTGTCCTGCCTTCAGGTGCTTTGGAAAATAGCTTAATTCCCTCTTCTTTATGGCAGCCCCTGAGATATTGGAATACTGCTATCATGTCCCCCCTTGTCCTTCTCTTCGTTAAACTAAACATACCCAATTCTCGCAACCGTTCCTTATATGTTTTAGCATCCAGTCCCCTAATCATCTTTGTTGCTCTTCTCTGTACTCTTTCTAGAGTCTCAACATCTTTTTTACATCGTGGTGACCAAAACTGGATGCAGTATTCCAAGTGTGGCCTTACCAAGGCATTGTAGCGTGGTATTAATACTTCACGTGATCTTGATTCTATCCCTCTGTTAATGCAGCCTAGCACTGTGTTGGCCTTTTTGCAGCTGCAGCACACTGCTGGCTCATATTTAGGTGATTGTCTACTAGGACTCCGAGGTCCCTCTCACAGTTACTACTATTGAGCATGGTGCCACCTATGCTGTACTTGTGCATTTGGTTTTTCTTGCCTAAATATAGAACCTTGCTTTTTTCACCATTGAATTTCATTTTGTTAGTTAGTGCCCAGTGTTCAAGTCTGTCCAGTTCTTTCTGTATCTTAAGCCTGTCTTCTGGAGTGTTGGCTATTCCTGCCAGCTTGGTGTCGTCTGCAAATTTGATGAGTTCCCCATCTATCCCTTCATCCAAATCGTTGATGAAGATGTTGAAGAGCACTGGGCCAAGAACCGAGCCCTGGGGCACCCCACTACACACTTCCCTCCATATAGATGCAGTTCCATTGAGGACCACTCGCTGAGTACGGCCGGTCAGCCAGCTACGGATCCATCTGATGGTGATTCTGTCTACCCCACATTTTTCTATCTTATCAAGTAATAGGTTGTGATCTACTTTATCAAATGCCTTACTGAAGTCCAAGTAAATTATGTCCACAGCATTCCTCTGATCCACTAATTTTGTCATTTGGTCAAAGAATGCAATAAGATTTGTCTGGCATGATCTATTTTTGACAAACCCATGTTGGCTTTTAGTAATGACTTTGTTTGCCTCTAGGTGTTCATTGATTCGTTGTTTGATTATCTTTTCCAGGATCTTCCCCCAACATAAATTCATTTATGTTGTTCCTTTTCATTGTTCTTTTTCTTAAACATTGACATTTACAACATTTCTTTCACTTTTACTATTTGACATGGTATTTTCATTGCCTTAAATATTTCCTAAGCATTCTTCACTTCCTGCCTGAGCAGGAAGTTGGACTCAATGACCTCCAAGGTCCCTTCCAACTTTATTATTATTATTATCATCATCATCATCATCATCATCATCATCATCATCATTATTATTATAATTATTATAGTGTCCTACCAAACTGTTTGTTTTATACTTACGTCTATTTACTGTTCTGGAGGCAGTGGTAGAATTCAGCCAGTTCCCAGTTTGGCAGAACCGGTAGCTATTTTTTTGTTGCCCAAGCCCAGAATGGACTTCTAGAAGCAGCATCCACACAGAGAACCAGTTGTTCACATATTTGAATCCCACCACTGGCTGGAGGCTCCTTCTTTATTATTCCCCACTTACTTCTCAAACATTATTTTCTTTCTATCAAAATTGTTCTGTTGATGTGGCTCCCATCCTCTGGAACATCATGCCCTCCCACCCTCGAGGTGGGATCCGCATCCAGCCTTTTGACTTTCTGAAAGGTCTTTAAGGCATGGTTGTATATGATCTATAATCTGACACATCTACAGGACACTATATTGGAGAATTTTTTTGTCATACTTATTGGGCTCTTAGTAGCCAAGCCAACTGATTCTCCTAGCCTTCTTTAGCAAGATTTATTGAAAAGTTCAAATAAAACTAATCCAGATGGAGAGGGTGGGAGCAAAGTGTGCACAGGGAGGAGATGGGGTGTTATCTACCCCATTGGCCTCCTCCAAAATGCTACATCCCTATTGGGGCCCCAATATATAGTCTGTATGACCATATAATTTATGAAGTATTAATATTTATCTTTACAGCCTTGCATGAGGCAATGATAAGTGACAAGCACATATGTCAGGCTATTTTTGAATCCTTTAAGTGATTCATTGACAACAAGGAGTGGTGATGAAATGAACCTCTTTGAAAACAGTGTTGTAACTATCAAATATTTCCAGGAAAAACTGGAAAACCTATTCTAATTCATTTATTTATATCATGCCTTAATTATTTTTTTAAATAATTCAAGGTAGTAAACATACCTACCGTACTAGTCCTTCCTCCTTCTATTTTGCTGCAAAAAAAAACTTTTAATTTGTCTATATATTCTGACATCTACTGTCAATTTTTTAATGGATATAATAACTAAAATAATACAAATAAATATTACCTGCAGAAAAGATTCTTCTAATTTCACTTCTAAATCTTGTATTTGATTAATGGCTTTATTGACACATGCAGCTGGAGTATTTACAGCAGCACAACTACGTTGTTTGTTGGGAATGCCTATTGAAATATTTTCATTTGTTTCTAAAAAAAATCCAGAATAATTATACTTAAACATTGTTTATCTTTGAATATATTTGTGACATCTATAGGTCAAATTAGATGGTTCTACATTTACAGATTCCATTTGCATTGTTTATTCATAATGCTAAACTACAGTCACTTTTTTGGTTTCAATGATGTATAAACTCACTCATTATGGTTTAGCATTAGGTGTAAATCTGTCTATTATTTCTGTTGTTTAACAAACTAAGCTGACTTAATATGTATTAATAAAGCAATATAGATTTTCTCCCTTAAATACACAATATAGAACCCCATATTCTGACCTACTGCGTGGGAAATGAGTTTATCTCTTTATCCCATGGCTAATTTCATAGAAATTGCCCCATGTGAGATTTCAGCCATAAGCTCTTAACAATATTTATTTATATATTTTTAAAAGTTTAATTCCACAGTCCAATACTTTTTTTATTTTATGTATTAAATTTGCATGCTGCCCATCTCTCTACCAAGCAACTACCTTCTGTAGCTAAAAGCAATTGAAGATTAGGATTTGAATTAAGGCTGTGGCATATAAGACAATAAGAATTCCTCCCCCAGTTTTCATTTTAATCAAAATCATAGCCTCAAGTTTGATCATTAACTGCATACTCATAATAGCTTATACCAGCCTTCCCAACTTGAGGGTGGAGTTAGGGAATAGTTAGCAGTGATCAGACTGACTAGCGAATTCTATTGAAATTCACATATCCAAAGGTTTTCCGGATTGGAAAAGCTATGATCATATATGTCAGCTAAGTATGTTCATCCCATGATTGGTCACTAATTATAATACAAAATCATGCAAGCAACGGTGCTAAATTATCTAGGGAATAATGTTAATATCATTCATTTGCTGATCAATATATTGACTATATCTGTTCGCAGAATGCAATTTCTACTTTGTCCCTTCTGAAAGATTTCTTGATTTTCATAGTCTGATATGGAGGAATCCATTTAGTTAATGGGGTTTGTTTTATTGCCAGGCAGAGATTATAGAAAAAGTCAATAAACAAGGAAGCAGAGTTAGAAATAATGATCTCAAAAGACAAGTCTAAAAGAAAAATACGGAGAGTATACAAATGTATCAAAAGAAATTGTTTTATAGTAAATGTTTTAGAAAATGCCAAGTTATATAAAGTTGAAAAAAATAAAACAAATACCTTCTGTTTTTATACAGTTTTCCTTGGAATAGGAAGAAAATAACTGTGCATCAGTCATTGTTATTCATAGCTTTTTGCAATCTAATTTTTAAAAAGAAAGAAATAGATATAAATAAATACAGAAATTCATACTGTGCCATACTTATTCTATTAATGAAAAATCTGCAGCTCATAACCAGGTCCTGAATACTCCAGAAAGATTCACCCACTTTTCCAAGTTGAAAAGTTGTTTTCAACCATCGAGTATACATGTTTTAGGAAAAATAACGAATTTCCTTAGGAATATTTGTTGAAAGGATAGGGTAATCCCACCCCCAGCCCAGCGTTGTGTTTCTGAAGTGAAAAATAATAATGTTGCCTGTATCTCGAATTAAGGGATTAAAGGCAGTGGTGGGATTCAGCTGGTTCACACCAGTTCGGCAGAACCGGTAGCTACTTTTTTGTTGCCCAGGCCCAGAATGGACTTCTGGAAGCAGCATCCACACAGAAAATCAGTTGTTTACATATTTGAATCCCACCACTGATTAAAGGGTTGTAAAAAAGGAGTTTTAGTGGGATTATTAATGAAATTCTAGTTCGGGGTGAGGGATTTTGCTTCCAAAAGTGATTTTATATATTGTATTGTCCATATACATATATATGTGGACAATACAATATAGGAGAGACAATATTAAATTAAGATGAAACTGTAATAAAATCACCATAATATGGAGCCATAGAATTGCAATTGGATGGGTGTTATAATTCAATATTTAAAGCTAACCATCTGTTTCTTCTGTGGCTGCAATGATATCATCCCAGATGCCTTGAAATTTTCTGAGGAGACATTCTTGACCTATATATGTTATAGTTTATTCTGGAGCATCACAGTCACATTGCAGGCTCTCAGCCATTCCCCACTTAAAGAGCTTTGCCTTAGTTCTCTCCTGTCCTGATTCTATTCTGGTGGCTCCATATTTTGGGGGGCAACTGCATTCCTGTAAGTGGTTTTGTTGGATCTGCATGATCTGTCTGGTTGTGGTTATTAACAATTGCCCATCTTAATCACTATTCTTCATCTAGATTGTAAGACTGTGGTGTGTTATCCCAAATTGGTTTCCTAAACTTAGGCCTGAGAGGTAGAGTCTAATATTTTATATATTGGAAGACCTCTAGAAATCAATGGCATGCTTATATTATTCTTGGACTGTCTGTTGTTGTCAACTGAGTGCAGGAGAGCCCATGTTATAAAGAATATGGAGCCATGATACTGGTGTGGATTTCAAGTCAATTTCGACTTCTCGCGAGAAAAAAAAGATTTTGCAAAGTTAGAATTGATTGATTGAACTTTTTAGTCCCACCCAGTCTGCCGTTACCACCACAGCCACGCCCACCCAATGGGCCACACCCACCCAGCACCCAACGATGCATAAGCGGGTTTTGAGTTGCAGTTTGGGCACTCGGTCTCTTAAAGTTTGCCATCACTGCCCTATCTCAACCCAGGGTTAAAAAGGTGTGCAGTTATGAAAAATGGTATATACTTTGGTCCTAGTGCCATTTACCACCAGCTAGTCTCAATTGTATGATCAAGTGATCTTCGGAGCTCCAATTCTTAACTGAAAAAGACAGCTTAGCTTTAAATCAATTTCACTGCCATAAAGTGGACTAAAGGTTACACTGTTCCACTTAGTTCAATAGGACTATAGCATATCCAAGCCATGGGCTTAAAGTATGAAGATACACAGTGAAATACATATTTGTAGTTTTAAAATCTATGATATTTTTAAAAATCTGTTTTATAGATGATCCCCAATGAATGTACATATATTAATTGAGAGACAAATGTTTTATCAGTCCTTTATTTTCATTTTTGAACTTTCAAAGCAAAACAATTTGTTTTATAACAGCTATTAGAAAAACTGAAAAGTACATTTTGCCTTTTCTTTTTCCTTCCATTCAACTGCATGTGATTCTTGGAGACAGCCTGAACAAATCCCTGCAGTTTTCCTAGCAAAGGTTTTTCAAAAATGGTTTTTCGAACATTCCTCCTTCCAAGGGCTGAGGGAAAGTGACTAGCCCAAGATCTGACTTCAAGTGACTTTGTGCCCAAGGCAGGACTAGAATTCAGTCTCTTAGTTTTTAGCCTGATGCTTTGACCTGATGCTTTAACCAAACTGGTTCTCAGTTTTTTTAATTTACAAAAACAACCCAAAGATACAGTCATGTAAAAAAGAAAGTACATCCTCTTTGAGTTCTATGGTTTTATATATCATGACATAGTAAAAATCACCTGGTCTTAGCAGTTCTTAAAAATAGGTGAATACAACCTCAGATGAACAACGCATGACATATTACACCATGTCATCATTTATTTTACAAAAAGTCAACATGGAGAAGCCATGTGTGAAAAACTAAGTATACCCTTACTGCTTCTATAGGTATGAAGCGACTAAGTAGCAGCGAAGTGCTGCTAATCAAGTGCCCTTGATCAACTGATTATCAGCAAGTGACACCTTATGATTCAATAGTTTGTAGAACCACCTTTAGCAGCAATAACTTGAAGTAGTCACTTTCGGTATGACTTTATCAGTCTCTCACATCATTGTGGAGGAATTCTGGTCCACTCTTCTTTACATAGCTTCATTTCATTGAGATTTGCGGGCAATTGTTTATGCACAGCTTTCTTGAGATCCCACCACAGCATTTCAACCAGGTTGAGATCTGGAATTTGACTGGGCCATTGTAATAATCTTTTTTTTTTCAGCCATTCTGTTGAACACTTTCTGGTGTGCTTGGGATCGTTGTCCTGTTGCATGACCAAATGTCAGCCGAGCTTTAACTGTCGGATGGATGGCCTCACATTTGACTATATACTTTGTTATACAGAGTTCATGATCGACTCAAAGCCTGCAAGGTGCCCAGGTTCTGTAGTTGCAAAACAAGCCCAAATCATCACCCCTCCACCACTGTGCTTCATGGTTTGAATGTTTGTGCTGATATGCTTGTTTTTTGCCAAATATGACACACTGTAATATGGCCAAACATCTCCACTTTAATCTTATCCGTCCAAAGGATAATGTTCCAGAGATCTTGTGATTTACTCAGGTGCAATTTTGCAAACCTAAGCTGTGCTGCCATATTCTTTTTAGAGAAGAGGCTTTATCCTGGCAATCCTTTCAAATAAACCATACTTGTTCAGTCTTTTTCCAATTGTACTATTGTAAAAATTAACATTAACTGTGCTGATGCTTGTAGAGTCTGAGATGTAACTCTTGGATTTTTTGCAATTTCTCTGAGCATTGCATGGTCTGCTCTTGGGGTGAATTTTATGGGACATCCATTCCTGGGAAGATTGGCAACCGTCTTGAATATTTTCTACTTGTGAATAATCTTCCTCGCTGTAGATGGGTGGACTTTAAATTTTTTGGAAATGGCCTTATAATCCTTCCTAAATTGATGGGCAGTAACAATTGCTTCTCTAAGATCACTGCTATTATCTTTCCTCTTTGGCATTGTGTTAATACACATCTCAATGTTGAAGACCAGCAAACTCCTAAAACTTTGACTTTTAAAGAGGTAGTCACAGTTACTGATGATCAACTGATCAAGGGCACTTGATTAGCAGCACTTGGCTGTTACTTAGCCTTTTCATACCTATGGAAGCAGTAAGGGTGTACTTAGTTGTTCACACATGGCTTCTCCATTTTGGCTTTCTTTTTATAAAATAAATGATGACATAGTGTAATAGGTCATGTATTTACCTACTTTTAAGAAAGGCAAAGCACAGATAATTTTTACTATGTCCTGATACATAAAACCATGGAATTCAAACAGGACTTTTTCACGACTGTATATAAGGCCCAAAATGATTTGGAACATCTAGAATTAACCAGAAGCAAACTTATAAAAGCACTAAGATAAAATTGTTAACAAAGTAATCATGCTTTAGTTAAGAGTATTCTATAACATTACAATAATCTGCTAGTTGCGCTTAGAAGAACAGATGGAGACATGCTTATATTCTTTCATTTTTGTTTTGTCCTGTCCTCTACTTTTCCCTGCTATAATCAGTTGGGGAAAGAATTCTTTCTAAGTTCAACCAACTAATTGGTCTGAATTCCTCCTGGGTTGGAAGGATATTAAAAATGATTGGTATGTAGCATGTCCATTTTTAAGGCTTTTCAAAAGTACATTCTGGCAATGAAGTGTAAGAGATACATGATGTAATCCTTCCAAATTATTTTCAGATGCTGTTGCTGTATGGTCCTAACAACAGTGTAATGCTGGTTTGATATATTCCTTCAGTTATTGTTTTTCCCACTGCATCTATCTTGCTCCAGGTTGCTCGGCCTGGGGTCCTGATAAGAGCCTGCTATGTTGGGGGTGGCGGGGGAGAGGAGAGGCCACCCATTATCTTGGATTTTAGCTTTTCTATTTAATTCTTCTAATTTTAATTGTTTTGTAGTACTTTTTATCATACTGTAAGCCAACCATATTGTATCAGTAATATAGAAATTTAATAAACAAATGAAGAAAATCTGGCTTGAATTACTAAATTAAGCTTTGTTATATGACAGCTCTTCTTGTTTACAGAAGAGCTGATTGACACTTTAATAAATCTAAATGTCTTCCAAAACTTGTAGAGCAAACAGAAATCTATTAGTCCACTGGCCTGTTGTTTAAATATACTAATTAAACATCCATCCATGTTAGTTGGCCTAACCACAAATATAAGCATGCTATTCCCTTCTATAGACATATATGCTGATTTGAAGAGTTCAGATGTTTGTGGTTTGGATTTTGGTGCTTTTTGGCCATGCAACAAAGGACCAGTCAGAAAATAAGCATCTCTTTTGTATTTCTTATTTAAGTATAGCAGGTAAAATATTTCAACATTTGTAAGAAAATGGGATTTTGCTTATATTTGATAAAAGACAATAAATAAAAATAAAACATACCTAACAAAACATGATAAAACAGAGCATTTTTAAAATGCATTTTCATCTTTTGTTAGAATATTACCAAATGTTTTACTTTTACTTTAAATTACATCTGTTTATCCTTATACTTTAACTATTTTATCCTCTATTTTTAAGTAACAA